CATCTTTGCTCCAAGTGTGCATACATCATCCACGGCATGTATATCATCCACGGCATGTGACCGACCATTTAGACCTAGTATGAACTCATAACTCACAGAGTCCGTCGTTGTTAATGTGATCCTATGCATGCAAAAGCTGTCAGTGTTATAGCCCATGACTTGTCCGCCTTGACGTGGAGAGAGAAAACAGGGAAAAACAGATGACGGACACCCCTCTCCTCACGCCACCGTGAGGACGTCCATCACTCCATCTGCTTTAAAGGTGATGGCTTTCGGCCGTTCAAGTTGAACCTCTTAGTAGTCGTCTAGATATTAGCTCTATGATCCCTCCGAACCCCCCCCTGCAGACTGGAAAGTTGGAAACATTGACTTAAAAAAAGGCACACCTACTTTTGCCCGTTTTCCTAATGTTCATATTACTTCATAACAGTGACATCAATTTCGTCGAGGCCTCTTCTCGTTCCCTTCTCCGCAGCCGACTCCTTTCTGACCTCAACGTCTACGGTAGGTGGGTATCTGTCTCCTTTCTCTCCCCCCCTCAGGAGTCAAACATCCGTGAGGGGCATCATTCACAACAAGAGTGAGATTCTGGTCCCTTAGTTCCATTCTGGTCCCATAGTTCCATCCGAGCTTAGTTCCATTCTGGTCCCGTAGTTCCATCCGAGCTTAGTTACTTCCATTCTGGTCCCGTAGTTCGTCCATCCGAGCTTAGTTCCATTCTGGTCCCGTAGTTCCATCCGAGCTTAGTTACTTCCATTCTGGTCCCGTAGTTCCTCCATCCGAGCTTAGTTCCATTCTGGTCCCGTAGTTCCATCCAAGCATTCTGGTCCCGTAGTTCCATCCGAGCTTAGTTCCATTCTGATCCGCTAGTTCCATCCGAGCTTAGTTAGTTCCATTCTGGTCCCGTAGTTCCATCCGAGCTTAGTTCCATTCTGGTCCCCTAGTTCCATCCGAGCTTAGTTAGTTCCATTCTGGTCCCGTAGTTCCATCCAAGCTTAGTTCCATCCTGGTCCCAGGTCCCATAGTTCCATCTGAGCTCAGTTCCACAACAACAGACAGATAGGCCCGGGGTGAAGCTGGGCCAGTACCTCCATCCGAGCCTAGAACTCCACTGTTACCCCAGGGCCTCGCACGTGACGTGGTGGACCTCGGGATACATGCTCTCTTCTTCGATGGCCCTCTTGAGGAAGCAGCAGAATTTGCCGCTCTCCCAGTATTCAGGGCCATGGATGTAAACCATGCCCTCACATTCCGTCTTCTTGTTCAACTTGTCGCATTTCTGCTGGCATCCTTCAACGCTTGCCGCATGCGGCTTCTTCGTGCAGTCGATCTTCTTGATTGTCGACGGCCCGTGACCGGTGTCGTGCCAACATTGGTATACCCTGGCTCCTGCCACAGTGGGAGCATAAGCAACCAGCACGACCATGCCTATCGCAACGGCCATCATGACCGCCATAGCCAAGCTCGAGGACTTCATCCTGAAGTTGCACTCCTCGTAGACGTTGAAGGCAGTCGTGAGGCAACTGGTCGAGTCGACGCTGCCAATTTGCCAAACACAATGGTCACCTGCAAGTCCCGAAACAGCACTGGCGACAGCCGCAAGCAACAGAGTTAGTGGCATATCAAGAACACTTGGCCGCTTGCATTCTTGCCTTTCTATTTCACTAGAGGTACATTATTGACAATACGAACGTCTCTCTCTCTCTCTCTCTCTCTCTCTCTCTCTCTCTCTCTCCTCCCCCCCCC